GGTTTGGTCTCCATGAGGCCATACTGTGAAACATTCCAGACAAAGCAAAAACATCTCCATGAAGGAAAACATTTGACAGACTCTCCCCCCAGAAAAGTTACACAATGTACCTTTAAGTTACACAGAGAGATCAGTCTGTGTTACTGGAAAAAGCCCCATTGCACAAATAAAGTCTCACCAGTTGATGGCTGAGGCTCCCCTGTGGCGGGGCAGCAGAGAGGGGTGGTAGATGATGGAGCCATGTTTGGGGTGGTTGATCACTTCCATGGGGATGAACTGGGAGCAGAAGGGCAATACGTTGAGCTCAGCGCCTGTGGCAGAATACTGACTCACCACCTCTGGAATGGCCTGACCCTTCACTCTCCAGCGAGGAAATTTAAACACGGGCACGCCATCCTTCTCTGCTTCCACCGCTAACACAGCACAAATACAATAAAATACAGGTCAGTAAAGGTGCACTATGTAACTTTTGGTTGGGGGTCCGTTTGAATGTTCCACAGTATCACATCAAACAGCTCTACTTTATGTTTATTTAATTACAGGGGGTTTTAGAGTTCAAAAACACCTAGAAAAACAGGCATTTTGAGCATTGTGAGCAGGGTTTCCTTTTCACAAATCTGACCTGTACCTTGATCTGGTTTGGTCTCCATGAAAATAAATACTAAATATATGGTTTTAATACCATACTGTGAAACATTCCAGACAAAGCAGTAACATTGCCATAGAGAAAAGCATTTGATGGACTCTCCACCAGAAAAGTTACACAATGCACCTTTAAGATATAAATTTATTATATATTTTTTTTGTTTAAACTCTGTGTTGTTTTCCTCTGTTACTAGGATGTATCTGATACAGTGCACTAAATCTCTTAGTATATCCTAAATATTTTATCTAAACATTATAACTAATGTGAAAAATGATTTAATCAAATGTGAACATATTTTCAAAACAGAATTTCATACTTGCATTTAGTTATAAACAGCAATAGTCAAGTCTTACAATAGTCAACAGACAGATGGGTAATGTGCACCTACCCAAGGGGTCTGCTTTGCCGTCATTATCAGGAATAGTGAAGACCCCTACAATGGTGTGGCCTTCTTTCCTTAACTCCTTGTACACTTCTTGGCCAAACAGGCTCTGACCAATTACTGCGATCTTCATCCCCGTGGCTCAGGCTACTATGAGGAAAAAATTCAAAGAAACAATTCTCTCAGCATTAGCAAATAATTCAGTGTTACATAGTAAATTATTTTATATCTCAGTTTTATGTATCTTGATCTGAAATTCATTCAAGTGTAAACTGATTGATAAAAATGTTATCGATCACTAAATCTTTATTTACTTTATTTACTCTTTTACTAGGTGACCAAAATGCTTTCCAATAAAATCAACGTAATGTAAAAACATTAAACAATGAAATAAAACAAATTGTGAAAAATGTCACTGTTAAAAGCTAGTCTGAAAGTATTAGTATCATATTATTATTATGAAAATTGAATATCGATTAACCTTGTATGTTTATAAAATAATAACATTGACAAATTATTATAAAGGCATTTCAATTATCCAGCTAATTCTAACTGTAGGTAATTATTTGCATAGCGTTACATAATTGTGCTCTCTGCATTGAACAGTCTCAGTTTTTGAAAGTACGTCAAAGAGTGGATTCTGGATCAGCTACCGGATGGTACTGGCTGAAACCTTTAGTCCAAAGTGCAAAGAAATTGTTTTGTGTTTTGTCTTGCTACAGATAAGATAAACCAGAGTCGACTGCTTTTAACTAGGTTTTTCTCTTCTCCTAGTAATAGTAGTTTACATTGTAAACAAACGTAACTCAACATATTGATTAACTATGAAAAACATGTACAACTTCACAACAAAGTACACAAACAAATATCAACATAAAATGAGGTAAGTAAAGTCAGTTATCAAATCATTAGACCAAAGTCAAAAATTAGGCTAAATGGAATAAATCTTGCATGTAATCCAACATGCACACTTTACAAAGACGTGAATTATCTGTACAAAAAATACAGAGATATGCTATGGCATATTCTAAGCATTCTGGATTTGCAAGAACACATGTATTAGACTAAAAAATGCAAAGACTCCCTAAGTGTCAAACATTGTTTTAAATAACAGCAAGTGTCTGTCAATGCGTCTCTCTGTATTTTTTATTTTATTGTTACTTTCTTCCATAAATTCAAGGACTAGTTACATTTTGAACATTTAACATAATTACACAGATTTATTGACCCACGTTATTTTACCATCCTTCTGTAATTAGATGTGCAAGCCTCTACAGCTGACCAATCACAGGCTCTGGGACTCAGTAAATCACCTGTCACGAACTCCATTCAAAAGTGTAATTTAAAGTGTACTTCTTGCAACTTGTTCAAAGTTTAGTAAAATAGCCAACAATAATATTTTGCAGAGTCCAAATGAATGCCTGATGGTGCTTACCCGTTGCTGCAGACCCCTGGCTCAGTGCAGTAGAAAAGAGAGATCAGGCTGCGACGCGACCTGTTCATTTGGCCCCACCGCTCCATGGCACTGTTACATAACACGAAATAAGTAATGTGATTGGAGGAGAGATATGTGAGGAGCAGCCAATCAGAGGTCCTATCAGCGAATAAACAAGCCAAAAACGGAACATCTGAGAACATAAAATTTTACGATAGAAAAATTATCCAGTGTGATTACCAGACTAATTTGCTGCTAAAACAATGTTCTGTACACCACATAGTCTGGGATTACCAACTGTAGGTGAGTAAATTAACATACAGGGCCTACATTTGACCATATCAAACACATACACACAGATCCATTGTCGCATAGGTAACATGGGTATGGAGTGTTGTAATCCGAGAAGAACTATTATGAGAATGGTATTTCAGATTTGTCAGTACAGTTATGTGTTAGATTAGTTTGTTGTATATTTTGTCATGTACAAAATGTTTAGAGTGCTGTGATTTACTCATCCTAAATGTTCTCAAGTGTTGTAAAGACAATCTTCTCTTAGCTAAAAGAAAATTTAGGAGTACATAGAGGAACACAGGGGAAGTCATATGAGATCAGAATTCCTAAAAAAATAAGTTTATTACAATTCATAGAATTTCATGACAGTATGCAGGAAAGCAGACTTACATCTGCAATTGAAAATAAATAATAAAAAATAAATGTACATTATTATGGAATCATACACAACAGTAACATAAGGCTGCTTTGATTTGAGGAGTTGCTGTACACGATGCTTCTCAAGGCAGATTGTACAATACAAGTGGCACTGCAGACAGTTCAGCCTGGTGTCCATTGCACATATTTGTGCCAGTTTTTCTAAAATTGTACACAAGCACTCATGCACACAACAATGGTTCACACAATCAAACACTTCTACAACCAAAATTTGTCTCAGCGCAGAGTAGTAACATAGCCTCGGGCAACCAGCATGACTGTGGGGATCATTGTATGCAATTGGAGAAGTTAATGAAGGAACAGGGACAAATATGACTGTGCTTTATTTGTTCCATTTTGATTGGTGATACGATATCAAAACCTGAATTGTATTTTTTACTGTTTACTTACTTAAACACTGCTTGATGCTTCATTTCCTAATCTATCTTATTCCCTCTGTACATACAATGCAAATTATACTTTCTGACGATCAGTCTCTTATATTGAAGGACGGCAAAATCGTGCATTGGACACCTGGTTCAATTCTTGATGTAAACAAGACATTGCATTTATATAAAGATGAAAATGAAAGGAATATTTGGTACAAAATGTGTGTTTTTTTAAAATAATTAGAATAAGGTGCATTTTGGTGGCAACAACTTTTTGCCCTGCTGAACAGCGCCCCCTTAAGGCCTCAGAGGAGATAGGTGAGTGACTGGACAAAGTCAGACTCACTCCAGGTCCTGGAGGTTTATGGTGCTTCCAGTGAACTGGGAGTTCTCAGAGTTATTGTCCTCCTCCGTCATCCCTGATGGCTCCTGTCAAAACACAGCAGGTAAACTCCATGAACACAACAATGCAGGTAATGCTCATTTTTGCACTGTCTGTTTTGGCCAAAATTACAAAGCACATGTACAAACTTTCATGACTCCTATAATCACATGTACAGTGAGTTGTACCTGTAAAATATTGACAGGCAGATCCACAGTGAGCTGAGCATGAGAACTGGAAGGCTGAGAGCTCAGCTGGAAAGCAAGGTCTCCATCAGACGCTGGATCATCCTAAAAGGAGAAGATACAAACATTAGAATACCAAATAAATGAGCCAAAAATTAAAGTAGACCATTGCCTCTCAACTGGTCTCTACCTAAACATGTTAATCATAACCAAATATGTGAATCAACTGGACAATGGCATAATGGTAGGGCTGGGCAATATGGATCAAAAAATATATCTCGATATACGATATATATCTCGATATATGTTCAAGAAAAAATAACCCCCTAAAACTGAAAACTGCAAAAACAAATCTTCCAAATTCCACAAGGTCTTTTTTTTTTACTGAAGTGTAAGAGGTCGGCAGTTCATATAGGAACATTTAAGATTACAAAAAAACCCTAATTACATAAATAATAATTTAACTGTAAAATAAAATAAATAATACATATTTCCTTCTTTTTATTCATAAATAAAACAACTCAACACGAGCTCAACTTTGCATTAACTGTTATCCAGACCAGAACCAGAACCATGAGCTCCTTTAACAGAAGAAGCTCAGGATGTTCCTTATTTCAACAGATCCATGTTCCAGCAGTAAGGAGCTCTGAGGTTTCCCACAATCCACTGCAGATCAAACTCAACGTTTCCAAACACTATTGTACAAGTGACACTGCAGCAGATTATTGATTAAAATCATCTGTATAAATAAACTTTACATTGCTAAACTTTACAATATATAAAGCATAACGACTCTAGAGCCACATCAGCCCGTTTGACATTATAATGTGTTTAATGCAGTTTTGCGCACGTGTGTTTACATTTTACAGAAACGAAACTTAAGCGCATGACTCATTTGCATAAACAGCACTTCTCCTGCAGCTCAGCTCGTTTATCTTCTTTCAGGCTAAAGGACGCGACTCAGTGGAATATGAGGATGTGCTGCTGCTGATGGTTTTGTCTGTAAATGGTGGAAAAGGTTTGTGGTGCTTGAAGCTTTTCACTGGCACCAAATTTCGGCGTTCACGGCGATAGTGAGGAGTGAATGAGACACGAGCGAAGAAAATCAGGGAGGCGGGGGCAACGAGAGAGAAGGTAAACAAGTGAAGCGGCAAAATCAAAATTGAATATAAGCATTATATCGATATATACGATATGTCAGAATTCATATCGAGTTTAAAAACTATCTCGATATATTTAAAATATTGATATATCGCCCACCCCTACATAATGGTACCCATGAATGAAGTCCTCCATAAACCTACTGAAAGAGGCGTGTTAGCGTGGGATTACCTGAAGGAGCTGAATGTGCACATATTGGGGAGTGGCATCCCGCAGGCTCAGGGCTCTGGTGGAAGATGTTGTGCTTTCACTGTAATGAGCCCCAGACAGTGGTGCTGAAGCTGCCTTCACTATTTTTGCTCTTTTCACTGTTGACCACAAAGACAACAAAAAATGTCAGAATTATTCTAATAAAATGATTAAAGTTTACTATTGTGAACCGCTTTGCTGTTGTTTGCAACAAGAAACACCAAGTTATTTAAATAAAGAAAAATGCCACAGGTTTACCAGATACTGATCCTCGCTGTTTCTTCTTCTTAGCCAGCTGAATGGCTCTATAGTCTGTTCGAGCAGATCCTCCAGTTTCCTAGAAAAAGACAAATGTTTACCCATGTAATCCATAGTACATGTGTGACGCAGTCACTTTCTCGCACCAGGAAGCTGCTGGGGGACACAGTGGTGTGTTCAGAGTCCTTCTGTGGACTGAAGCTGCTTCCAGGACCAGGGAACACAAATTGGGTGAGCACCTTCTCCCCCTCCTGTGTCTCCATCACCTCCACACAGCTCAGCAGATGTCCTGAGCTAGGCCCACTCTCCTCTGGGCCTTTGGGGGGAGAGGCTAGGAGCTCCACCACCGGCGCTGTGGTCTCAACACTCAGGGAGTCAGCAGACACACCAGCCCCCTGTATCCCAAGGCTACTCAGGGAGCTCAGGGCCTCTGGCGTCACACTCTGCACATCATCCAGGTTAAGTGTACCCTGTGGAGGGAGCACCTCTTCCACAGACCGCTCCAGGGCCTCATGAGAGCCCACCTCTGTCCCAGCTGCCAACAGTAGAGGGTCTACAGCTTTGGCCAGTGTTGTGGGGGTGCCAGTACTTAAGGTAGATCCCACTGAAGATGGGTCAATGGTGAGGATGCCAGAGCTGACCATGGACAGGTCCATGGTGAACATCCCAGACGAAGAGGTGCCACTCACTGGTATTCCCACGCCAATTCCTGCAGTGGGGACGGTGCCAGCTGACACTCCGGACAACAGAGAGCTGAGGTCCAGATTAGTCAGCTGATCGACTGTAGTGCCTCCCCCGGATACCAGAGCAGGAGATGGGCTGACCAACTCGCTGCTAGGAGTTAAAGCAGGAGTCATCTCCATCTGACTCAGCACATCTGAGAAGCACAAATCACAAATAATCATAAAACTAAAACATTATATAATTGTAATGTATAGTTGTAATGTGTTTCAGTCACAGTATCTTGTCTCTACTGACCAGGACTTATGTGGTGGCCCTTCAGCATGTGGCTCTTAAGGCTGCTGCGTGATGAGAAGTGTTTGGTGCAGTCAGCCACAGGGCAGCGGTTGCGCAGGCTGCTGGCATCCTGCTTGTGCTTCTTGGAGTGGATGTAAAGACTGCTGCGCGCTGAGAATCTGGCGTTACAGCCTAGAGAACAAAGCATATTTAGCAGAAGTTTATGTTATAATGTAATATAATAATATTTCCAAGGACATTACCTTCTGCATGGCACTGGAAAGGCTTGGTTCCCAGATGAGTGATGCTGTGACCCTTCAGGTGCTCAGCCCGAGTGAAAGACTTTCCACACCCCTCTTCTGTACAAACGAAGCGACGGTCATCATCATGTTTCCTGTTGAACACAGATGTGTACAGAACTATTCAAATAGCAAGCACAGACATTTGTAGACCTTAAGTTAAATTAGTTCAGACATTTTGGGGATATACTTTGGGATATACTTGGTTGTCATGCAATCTTGTAGTCTTCAGAATGCATTGCACATATCTATTGTGATTCGCAACATGATAACTGAAGATTTGTGAAGAATTTCTTACCGTTTGTGTCTAAGAAGTTTGGACATGCTTGTGAAAGACCAGCCACAGCCCTCAGAGTCACAGACAAATGGCCTTTCACCTGGACCGAGTAAACACAACAGCTTAATGAATAAAAAATAAACTGATCACACTTCTATGTTGCCATTATAAACAAACATTTTATGTTGTTATGAGTTTCAAATAAAGAAGAGCGCTGTAATAGACTATTCATCTAAAATGGCTTATGGCAAAACTCACAAAACTTAAAGTGTCCCTATGATTTGACCCAAATTGCAGAAATATTTATACAGAAAAGTACTACTAGATGTGTTATTCACATGTTGTTAATGCAGAGTAACATTCACACCTCAGTAAAATAATATGTAGAAACATTTACCTCAGACAAATAAAACTGTAGACTAAAAACTGAGCTCAGGTCAAAAATATGTGTGGTTTTGTAAATTGTCCAGGTGCGCCGTACCAGTGTGACTCCTAAGGTGAATCTTCAAGCGGCAGGCCTTGTCATAGGTCTTGTCACAACCAGGAAATGTGCAGGAGAAGTGACCAGACTCTCTGAAGTGAGTACGATTGTGGGAGAACAGGGCACTGAAGGTCATAAATGTCTTCTCACAACCTGCTCATATAGATAGCTATGTTAGTCAATATTTTCTTGTGTATAGTACAGTATTTACTATATCCATTGCAAATCAATACCACTATTGAAAAGAACAAATGTATAGGTGTCAGGCATGATATATTACCTGGAAAATCACATTTGTGAGGCCTCTGAGGTTCAAAGTGAACTCTCTGGTGACTAGCAAGCCGAGTAGCACTGCGGAACCTTTCGCTGCAGATATCACAGGCAAAGGCATCGTCCTGCTTGTGGTTTTTAATGTGAGCTTTGAGGTTATAAACTGTAGTAAACCGCCGGTCACAGCCCTCTACCGTACACTCAAAAGGCCGCTGTTTATCGTGGGACTGAAGGTGCCGCTTGAGTTTGTAGGAGGTAGCAAAAGCCCAACCACAGCCCTCCACAGTGCACTGGAATGGTCTGGGGTCCTCTGCGTGGTTTAACTGGTGAACCTTGAGCTTCTGTCTCGAAACAAAAGTGAATGCACACCCAGGTTCAGGGCAGGTAAAGAGGGAAATAATCTCTTTCTTTGACTTTATGGGGCCGTGAACCTCCTCATTTTCAGTATTTAGAACAGCTGCTTTGGGGGAAGGAGTGATAAGATCTGCCTCTGTTAAAGTGTACAATGCTGAACAGTCATCCACCAGAGGCAGCTCTGTGTCCTTAATTTCACTGGAGCTGGGGGTTGCCAGTGTATTGATCTTCCCAATTGTCTTTGCTCCACCATCATAATTAAGCAGAACAAAATCTTCATAGTCCTTCATACCAAGTTGCTCTTTTAAACTGACCAAGTCCTCTTCCTTGTGAACACCTCCCTCTGGAGGAGTGGTGAATGTGAGGAAGCCATTGTCTATTGTCACAATAATGTTTTGGTTGTTGATCATGATGGTCCCAGAGAAGGTTTCATTGCCAGGGACACTATCAGAGGACATGTTAAGTTGGTTAACAGGGTTCTGTTGCGCATCTGCGATTATGTCTGGACTATCCAATGTTTCCATCAAGTCCGAACCTACTGAAACAAAGGCACTGCCATCGTCCAAATCGTCTACGGAAACTTTACTGACAGCGTTGTGTGTACAAGCATTACCAGCCAGTTTATCATTGCAGCTGTGCGTAAAAATGGCCTCTTCTGCAGTTTTTTGATCGTCAGCTCGTTTTGTATCGAAACCATCATCTGGCAAACAAAAACTATGGTCGTTCATGTCCAACGTGTTATTCTTAAGGACGCTCAAGTCCTCATTGGATTCACAAAACATAACGTTGTCTTCAACTTCGAGGAAAGCGCTTACCCGCGCGTTGTCGCTCAAGCACTCTTTGCCTTTGCCTGCCACAGAGACTGCGGACACCGACTCCACAGCCGCCCCGGAGCTAGAAGCATCGGTCTTACCATTGTGTGGAGTTACAGTCAAAACCACGTAAAGCCTTTGGAGGTCCTTACAGGCCGCGGTACCGTGCTCAACAGCAAGCTGGCTGTTCAAAGTCGAGTGCGGGGTGTCCTCATGTTGTGACTGTAAACCCGAGGCGGTGGCGGTGCGCACCGTTTCCTGTCCGCCCTCTTCCTCCAACCGAGGAAGCGCCATTTTCCCCTCTCCGACGGTCCCAGCGTCATGATAGCTCCACGTTTGTGCTGTGTGTTGTGGGTTAATTTGCGTATGAGCCCCGTGGTGTTTCCTAATGTTAGAGTTGGGGCATCTATGACTCGCCAAACAGTTTTTATCTGGAGGCGCAGGCTGGCATGCAGGTGGGCAGTCCACCGCGCTGCCATGTTCCGCCTGTGGCCGAAACGCAGCTGTTCTCGGCCTAGTATTGTTGTTGTTGTCACTTTGGTGTTCACGCTGTCCATCCACTTCATATTCTGAAGAAACAGATTTTGTTCTCGAGGTCGATGTCGTTGGGAGCGTTGACAGAGTGGATCCACGCAGGGCGCCATGTTGAGAATGATTGTTTTGGGCATCTGAAAGCCCCTGAATTTCCATCTTGGTATCCCTGTAGCAGCGGCAGCGTGCAAGGCCCGCCCTCTAAGAAAAAAACACGATCAGTGCAGTTCCGAACATTTCCAACAGGATGCGCTCACAAAAGTGTAACGACTGCGCTGACTTCTGTGATTTTAATTATTATTTTTGTTTTGCTAAAACTATAGACTAGTCACTGTATGGTTAACGCCCTGACACATGGATGAAATTATTTTCCAGTCACAGTAATTAACAATCAGCGTCTAATCAGTCTAATTACAATCAAATGTACAATGTCATACATGACAAGACAGTTAAGATTCTGAAAAACTGCAGTTTCTCGTGTGTCCACCAGAGAGCGTCACATACCAGCCCAGATACTAAATCTGATTAAATTAATTGGATTCCTAAAATTCACCTGAAGCAAATTCTGGTTATACTTGTTTATACAATGTCTTTATGAAAGTTTTGAGAGCTGGTGCTCAAAACAAAAAGAATAATCAGAAAAGAAAATCTTAGTGTGACAGAGAGCCCAGGTTTCAGAAGGACAGTTCTAACTTTTGTGATGAGAAAATGGTGAATTCGTCAAATCCCATAACAAAATGCCCATAGTTTGGGACAGTCTGACACGGTTTCACAGCTCATACCAAGGCACGGACACACCTGAAGGCACCTTATCAGAAATGCCTTAACAGTAACTGCCCCATGCACATTTTTCTTGAGGTCATGAATTTGTGATTTTATCTTAAAACTGGTGATGGAAAATTACTACCTTCTGTGACAGAGCATAATAACAGTTTCAGTTAAGTAAGGCTGATCTACTTTACATATATGATTTAAATTTTTAAAGGCAGTGAAGAACTTTTATCAAAAATAAACAACACATCAGCAACTATACTTTACTTCACAGTCATCACACTTTGTAGGGGTAGTTTAACTTTTTTTATTTTTATCAATTAAACAATGTCAAATGGGCTTAATGCCCCTCGACTAAATTCTTCCCCAAGATACCAGAGTAACTGGTAAAAGTTTGAACGCTTCAAAGCATCAACATATAACAGGCTTGGCACAAAAACTGTTTAAAAGGCACAGAAGTTCCTGAGGTAAGTCGCTGAAGGAAACCTTTAAAATAACTAAATAAAACATTAGTCACAGACAGTGACTAATGACCGAGCTCATGTCTTTATGTCAAGACCCACATGCAGTGCACATCATTATTGTTCAATATATTTTAGAGGCCTTGAAAGAAGCATTGATGGTCAGTGTAAATGAAAATTATCCAGTTAAGTCAGTTTTACAAAACGTTTGACTTTATATGTCTGAGAAATTAAAACCTAACCTTTAGTATACTCCCACCCCTTAGTATATCAATATCAACCACTCACACAGTTGCAAATTAATATAAAATTAAAATTACTGTGTGTGTGTGTATATTTGTAGGTCCAGTGCCAACATACCACCAGTAAGCTACAACCACAAACTGTGCCATACACACATTTTTCTATTCATACCCATAACAGTTAAAAGTTGAAAAATATAAAATAAATTCAAAGAGGGTGTTTTTTCCAGAGGCAGAAACCAGCTTTCATGCAAAGCCCATGTTATTTAAAATATTATACAGTATTTCTATTCCTCAAGTGCTTTCACCACCTCAACCTTCTTTCCTTCTTTGAATGTGGAAGAGCAACAGGGTTAAAATAATTAAGTGATCAAATGTTCAGAAAGGTTCTCCCATAAAAGAATAATCACATACATCTGCCATTTAACATAAAAACCTTCCTCTATCCCTTTTAGCAGAGACATCCCTTTGAAAATCCAGGCAAAAGTGTTCGGAGCATAAAAAAAGAGAAAAAAAAATCATCAAACTGGAATTGAAGGCTTTGTTTTTGCAGCAGACAGAGCAGTGGTAGACATGGCTTAGCCTGTTTGACAGGAGTAACAGAGGCAGGAGAATTCAAGGTTTCAGACAATAGCATTATGTCCTCGGAGGCCAACACCACGGGCAAACTGCTCCAGCAGGCCGGAGATGGCAGCTGAAGGACTGGGAGTGGAAGACTTGAGACCCACTGTGGAGCTGTAAGCAGCCAAGAAGATCTCCCGCACCGATTCAAGCCGGGTCTGACGCTCAGGAGGTAAGGGACACCTATAGACAAAGAGGAGCATAGTAGACTTATCCGTGCAGGTTTGTGGTTGACTGCAATCCAGGAGGACTGAATGTTACTGAATTTAAAATTTTACCAAAGTATTATTAATCTAGTTAAAATTCTAAACTATCACTCACATGCGCCCACTGGGCCCATCTTCCTGAAAACTGAAGGGCAGGGGGGAGTCGTAGATAGGAGCTACCACAGATGAGCTGGAGGAGACTGAGGCTGTGGGTACAGGAAAGTTTGCGTGATCATGAATGCTGCCACACCCTGAGACAATCTGCCAGCTTCCATATTCTGTGGAGACTGATGAGGCCGAGCGGGCACTGTCTACAATGAACCTAAAACAGAAAAAAACAGAAATTCAGACATGATTTTAAAAACAGTCTTTGATATTTTCTGATATTTGACATGCAAACCTTCTCCCGGGAACAGCTAGGGGACTGCTGCCAGTGTGTGTGGGCCCATGGTCGGACTGATTGGAGGATGAGGAGCTGGAGGACCTGGCCTCACTGAGCTGATGTGGCGTGCTCTCCTCCACTCTGTTCCACATCACCTGAGGAGAAGGGGATGGGCCTTTCCTCCTACACTCACACACATAGATGCTATAATTAGGAAAGCAGTACTTCATGTGGGGGTTAATTAGGTTGTCCAAAATAATTTCGGTTTCAGGGGAAACTTTTGTGTATATAAAATGTAAAACGTAATAAACATATTGAAAAAACATTGAATGAGAGGGTGAGTCCAGACTTAAGTGGTAGTGTAGATTATGTGAGCATGTTGCTAACTGATTTATAAGGAGTTAATTCTCTTAGCTGACCTATTAGCTGGAGGTATCCTAGTCAACCTAAGCAGTGTGCACTTTTTACACCAGTTAAGATGGTCTCACTTTGTAATTCACATGAGCGCAAGTAAATTAATTATCATTCAGTAAATGTATCACTTAATTATTTAAATGGATCTAGTTGCAAGTCAGTACTGACCAGCATGCGGCAGCTGGTTGGTTCATAAATAGGTCTGTGGTGTCACTGTTAAGACTGGAAGGTCCAAGCTCCTCAGTGATCAGAGAAAACTCACTGCTCAGACTGGTCACACTGCCACGATCTCTAGTCTCTGGAACGCAAAAACAAATGATCTCTTTAGACAGCTGCGGTTGTTGTTTTATACATTTAAATATGCAAATTATAGCATAGCTGTGGAATTGATAAGCTGCTAGGTCATGACTGATAAATACAGTTATCTCTCTCAATGTGAGAATACTTCTGAATAAACGTCAAGTTTAGTTTTGCATCTTGCATTAGGTTAACTGCAAATTCTGATGTGTGACGACACAATTCCAAGCTCTAATGCAAAAAAAGAATTTAATATAATATCAATAGGGATGGTCATTTTACAAGCAATACTGATCATATTAATGGTTCATTTGGGGTATTTACAAGGTTTGGTCATTAAAATAAAATAAAAAAATAAAAAAAAGGCAAAGCTAGAGAAACCCATTGTAACATTGTCGAGCACATTCCAAGTTTAATGAAATACTGTTGAATAAGCAGGTGGTAGGCCCTCGAACGAAAAGTTACATAAAGCACCTTTAAGGACAATTTTCACAAATTACTACTCATCACTTACTTAACTGACAGAGGTCGTCCACAGTGAAATCATTATCTTTGAACTGTGAATTCTTTCTTCTGAGAACAGAAATAGATAAAGTTATTATGACAAATCACAAGTAACACATGAAGCAGGTCATAATATAGCCCAAACATACTTTGTATATTCAAGTCAATAATATATAAACTAATTCTGCATCTGTCATGAAGGTAACAAACAAATGTGTAAAAAATATGAGTTAAATACCTCAGTCTCTTTACAGCAGAGAACTTCTCTGAAACAATGTGCTTCAAAAAATTGAAGCAGAAAAAAAATATCTAAAAAAAGAAACAAAATAATGTATTACAAGTAGCACCAAACCATTACACCAGACAATACAAATGCATATGTATTATGTTTACTAAAAATTGACGTTAGATCAAGGAGACAAAAATCCAGGTACAAACCTCTTCTCCTTTGGAGAGTCTATCAGGCAGCATGTGGCTACAATATAGAGGAAAAACAAGTTATTAGTGGTTCTAGTCATGTAGTCCCCACAACAAACATGTGGGAGTACATTAACACATTTAATGCAGTATAAACATAAGATATATTTTACCCAAACATGAACCAATCATACGCGATGGTTAGGTACAGAATCTCCGCTGGCTCTAGGTTAGCGTGCACAATACCATCCTGCAGGACAACAACATTTCCAAATAAGTTTCCATGTGCCCAGACAAACAAGCCACATGTTGCGTTTCACATGGTCCATAAACAGTTTGGAATAGATGTTTAATAGGAAAATGGACGAGCTTACAGCCCACAGAGACAGCCGGAGAAGAGAGACAAACAGAGGCGTCCTGTCCCACCCGGATATACAGTGCACCAGCAGCCCACTCTCATCTGAAGCAAGAGGCATCGCTGAGTTATTGAAAAGCATGATTTAAATTTGATATTTAACATAGTTCAGTCATTACAATTTAATCAGCCAGTTTGCACATGTTAACCTACCATCACTGTTAATGATATGAAGAAGCAGTTTCAGGTAGTTTTGAGTCTGTTCCACCAAGTCCCATGACTAAAATACACAAAGAATAAAATAACACATTTAAAATTCCGTTTATACAATATACTTTATTCCATTAGGATTGTCAGTATAAAATAATGTCCACAAAGAAAATCACACATTGGAGTGGCGGGCCTGCCACCTGCTTGTCTCGAAAGTTTCACAGTATTAAATTTAACCATCATAGAGACAAGCAGGCGATGCCACCAGGCATAGATAAATGGAGAACCAACCTCATTCTCAATATGAGAGCATGTTTAGTTTTCTTCTTAACTAATTCTTAAAATGTGATGTTTCTTCTCCAAATAATTGTAACAAGTACAAATTGTCTCACAAGTGTAACTTGGAGCTGCAGAAGAAAATTGATTTACCTGGTACTGGGTCCAGTCTATGTTTAGGTTCTGAGTGAAGCATGTAGGGATTGTCAAAGGCGCATCCACATAATCCTGTCCCAGAGAAAACCCAACTATGGTCAAACCAAGACTAGGAATGTTCATACCTCAAAGAAGAAAAAGGACTGACCTGATTCCAGTTAAAAACCAGACCTTCTGCTGTGTAGTCTCTGTCTTTGTACTCCTTAAAGAACTCGCACCCTGAAGATAAACACCAAAAAAATAAACATCTCAAAATGCCAAACTACAAATTCAAATTAGTGTAAATATAAACAAGAAACAGCACTGCTAAAAGTAGAAGTTGATATAAGATCCTATTCTGGTTAGTGGTAGTAACAATAACACAATGTGAGAAAAATATATAACATAATTCACTCATTCACTTGGACCAATTTGAACTTAAAGGCCCTATATTAAAAATGTTTTGATTGATTTTATAATTTTGTTTCCCTATTAAAAACATGTCCGGAGTTGTGTTTTGATTCCTTCACATGAATTATTATACAAATTCTGTATGTTTAGGCTGAATTCTTTTCTCAGAAAACACTCCGTTTCACAGAGTGATGTTATGATGTCATGTGGTAATACAGGAAACACTCCACTGTTTTAATAAACGGCATACACATTTAAATAAACTGCATACACATTCACTTTGGATAATCTGAGTCCAATACTATACTAAACTAAAGGTAAAAGATGGCTGTTATCTTGAAAACTACCTCTTGATGACATCAAATTGAAACATGCAGTTCTGCATTTAGAGCTTTAGAGATGTAGCAAGACTAATAATAAAGGGTCACTCAAAGTGTGAATGAGATATCAGATAACAACTCTAGGTGTGTTGGCATAAGTTGGCAACATTCTAACATGGCTTAAAGCTTACAAGAGTCAGTAATATTATATAATATATTAACATAGGACTTTTAAAGCTTGAGCAAATAGAAATGAGTGGACATTATTCCCATCCCTGGATATGCTCTCTAAAGTTTACCTGGATAAGGCACTGAAAGCAGAGTGAAGTCTGCATAGCGTTGAGCTTTATCCACCTTTTCAGAAGAGGTTACACTGTAATTACAAACAAACAAATGTCTTACCATAAAAGCAAAATCAACAGGTAATAAATATCATGTTATGTTCTTACTTGAGACCAAATTTAACCTTCTTATTCTCTACCATTAGATCACAGATGTAGCGAACAGAAAGGTAGCGCAGCAGCTTAATGTCATGACCACGAACCTTATCAAACAGTTGGGAGTCACCATTTCTGGGGACAAAAGCAATTTATCACAACAATGTCAAATTCTTTTACATACTTCAATGACAATACATGTTAGCAAATCAGACACTAATCAATACTAAAGCTAGCATTGAAACTAGATACTAGAGCAGATATTAATACAAAAAAAAGTTGCAATCACATTACACAAACAAACCTTTCCTACTCAACTTTAGAAAGATCTTGAGCTGTATCATAACTAGTATGGGCCCACGGACCACTATGGAACATACCTGGGTGTCTGAGAGATTACACAGACATAACACTTGGTAATATAAAAGAAAGAACTGTAATTTAATGTTGCAAACATTCACATTCTATTTCATTGTGGTATCAGAACTGGTATCAAGTCTTTTCCGTGTATATCAAGTTAGAAATTTTTGTATTGTGGCAACACTAATACAAAAGCCCAGTTAATTTTTTTCTTATTCATTGATTTTGAATATGTATATATGCATATTTATTCTATCGCCACTGCCTCTGTATTACAGTTGCAACAATGTATTTTCACCATAGTGTGGCAAAAAAAAAAAAAGCATTTTTTCTAAGGCAAAGCATAATGCTTTATATATTATACTACTGTCATCACCTCACTCCACTGTCATCCTCTAGAACCTCTTCTGGCTCTGTTCCTGTGTCATCAGCGCCCCCTGCAAAGTGAAAAAGAGTCACTTTATTCCTGGGGTAGTTGACGTGGATCTCAAGACAAACATGTACTTAAAATGCCTATTACACTATTTCCTGATCTGTTATAATGTTGTTTCCTCATCAAAAACATACTGAAATTGTGTTTTGTTTCATTGACACATGTTTAACACACAAACTCTGTATATTTAGAGTGAGTTCTTCTCTCAAACAGAAAACACTTTGTGACGTCTTTTGGTAATTCAGGAAGTGCCCCACAGTGTTTTTAAATTCCAATCAATTCCAGTCAATGTTGTGTAATATAGGACCTTTAACTTGTGACAGTGTTGATTCATCTTCACCTTTTTACGAAATAATCATTCAGAACAATATTTTTGGAAGTTACCTGAGAATATGTAGTTGTAGCCTGTTCGGCCGTAGAGCTCCCCCCAGCCTGCTAGAGTAGATGACCGGCAAATATGCTGCAAAACAAACATTTAAAGTGTATATGTATATTATAGTTTTAAACCAATCAAGAAAAAATTTGTGGAGAAAAGCTGAAAAATATGTTGAAAATTACAGGAAGTAGAGAGAGAATTCAATTTACACAGAAAACAAATTTTTCCCAATATTTCAAACATTATTTCAACGTTTCTTATATTTTTATTTGTTAAATATTAATCTCTGACTATTTTAGAGGGGTTTCGGACTTGTGTACTATATGATTGGAATGTGATATAATGATTTCCAACAAGAAAAAAAAGAATTGTAAATTTTTTGGATAAAATCTTTAATATAATATCCTCATATATTTTAGTAAAATGAGTCAATCAACCAGTCATAGGCACTTTTAACATTCACATGATTGAGCTATTCGACGTAGTTAACTGAAAACTATGCTGTATAAGAGCATGGTATGGAGGAGAATAATAAATCTGCACTTCCTCTTTTTATGATATACATACACCATGACACACAGAGTAAAAAACATCATCTCCTGACGCAGGCAGATCTATAGAGAATAGCGCTGAATGGGTTTTCTGAAGGTGTTCTAGTCTATTGGCAGTAACATATGGTAACCTTATCTTTTCAAAAACTACTCAGCTTGTTTTAAAAGTTGGGGGTTGAAGTGAAACCTCCAACTTCCCCATGTGTTGTAAAAGTAGAATTGCTTAGACATTTAACCTATACAGGCATTGACAATACGCTTTCCATTAAACTGTGGAATCAGTGTGTAAAGGTTGTGTGTTAGAGGGTACCTTTCCCTTGTAGAGGATGACAGGGCAAACAAATCTTCCCCTACACCGGGCAAGCTTACTCCTGTTTACCAGGTCCTGAAGCTTACTGATGTGCACAGTGCCATCAGATCTGCAACACAAGAAAAAAGCTTATACTCAGTGTTTTGAACTTAGATACAGTCATACTTTTTTTAATCAACTCACTCCATGTACGGGACTTTGAGCAAGCTAGGCAAAAATAGTAAGTAACTGATAATATACTTGCTGACTACTTGACAGAGCCCCATAATGTGTAATCAGAAACAGTTTGGAATTACTATTCACAAAATATAGTCCTCTGCTGAACAGTCATGGGACCTATCACAGTTGTGTGAATGAAAGTTAACCTTTGGTCTTAATACAGTTAAAGATGAGGACATAGAGGAAACAAACAACACAGGCTAATAGCTAACTGACTGGACTTTGCCATCAAGAAGCAGCAGCAGGATACCTGCTTCTCTCACACTCCAGTTCCTGCTCTAAGAACACTATTTGCCGTGGGTAGTGGCCGCACACTTCTCCATTAAAGTTGTGGATGATGCTGTACTTGTAATCCCTTGAGAATAAGTCGAGGGTGCGCCTCTCAATTTCCTCTACCTGGCAAAGGACAAATGAATAATATAAATCAACAGAGGTAGTACAAACTTTAGAAGTGCACTATGTTACTTTTTTGGTCAAAAGTCCGCCAGCTGTCTGTCTTCATGGAGATGTTACTGCTCAGCCTGGAATGCTCCAGGATGACATTAAACTTCTCAATCTTGCATTTAATCAATTACAGATCTTTTTATGGCTGGAAATTGCTTTGAAAAACATGCATTCATACAAGGAGACTGGTCACCTCTCCACAGATCTGAAATGGACTTGATATGGCATGATGTATAACACTTTTGGGTGAAGCAATAGCATCTCAGTGGAGACAATGGAACCTCAACCACAAAAGTTACATAGTGCACCTTTAATAACATGATATACAGTAATTTTTCTTTTTAATGTCAATAAAACATTTTCACAGAGGGGGAAAGTAAATTTAACTAAGTTAATAAGTGTAGGTAGGCTCTCTCTTGAGGTAAAAATAGGCTACTCAAAATCATCAATAGCCAACTAGAGCTCATAATTAGGTTAGATTATACGTAACCAATTTCATGTCAGTGATTTGACTTCGTTTCACTGTGGCTCACCTGCGGGGTTACTTCTTTTGCTCTGTACTGCGTCTTGGAGAACAAATAGATCAAATCTACTATTTCCTCGCTTTTTCTCAATGACAGTCCAGAGGCAGCCATGGCAGAGCCTCTACCCACGGCAGGGGCCTGTAACCTGACGTGGCCTCCCTCATACACAGCAGCGCCCTGGCTTTTGGATCTGGAAGAGCGGCCAGGCCATGCCTTCCCGGCCAACTTCTTCCTGACTGCCCGCTGAAACGGGCCGGAGCCGGGGACTCGTCGAGAATTCAGGGCCGTGGTGGCTCCTTCTGTCGGTCCTCGGCTACACAACTGCACAGCCAACGGGGGTTAGCACAGCGGTAACAAAGACCAAACACAGGTTTCAGTTTTGATCAATTTCCACAGTTAAAGCCGGATGATTTCGCAATAGTGCATAAATGTATGTGTCTAGTCCCGCGGTTTATTCACACTTCATGCACTTGATACACAGCTCCCGAGAGCTAACTCTGACCTGCGACTCTGCGCGCTGGACTACGACGTTTCCAGTGTCTTCAGACGTCTCCTCGTCTCCTTAGCGACTGTGGACATTGCATCCAACATATTCACAAATAAAAGTCGTATGAGTGTGACGGGACTGTTTGAGCTGCGCACTGATGTTGCAATGCACGTCTGCACGATATTGGTTTCTATAAGCTAAAGGAAAACAGACAGTAAACAGGAAGATTGGGTAAACACGTGACCGGAAGTTGCTACGTAGGCGCTGCAAAGTAGGAAGGACCTTTGACAACTTTTTTTCATTTCCGTTTATAATCCATTATAAATGTTTCTAGGAAAGATGAAATAGCAACATCCCTAAACTATGGGCAACTTGGTCTTTTATTGAGTCCATGTTGTATCTTGCATCAAAATCTCTAATCAAACGGTCCAGAGTTTTTAATGTTTCAAGTTTTCAAACTGTAACGATATCTACACTTATACTATTGTAGAACATGTACAAGTAATCTTAAAATTACCCATCATTCCAAAGACAAATCTTTATATGTGTATAGTAGTGTGTAGACCTATAGAGGAAAGGTTTAAAAGAAGACAAGAAAAAAAAAAAACAACTTCATCAGATGCTATAATATAATAATGGTTTTAAAATCCATCATCATCATGATTATTTTATTATCAAAATGCAATACAACTCTTCTTAAATCTTTTGGAGGGCAACAATTGAATTAGTTACTACTATGATCTGTGAGAAAATTAACAAAACCAACAGAAATGTACAAAAAGAATGCAGCATCTGAGAGGAACCAATGAACAGACCCAATGATTAACGTCCAATCGTCAGAAAGACCAGAAAACAGAAATCATGTGTACTATATCTTCATACAAGTCTATATATCACATATCTTTCTATACACAGGTCATATAGTCATACATAATGTCCTTTTGTGTTTTAAGGTTGAATCTCTTGTTTTAAGGTGCTGGTAATTTTGAGCCACAAACAGTTTCTTTGTTTGGGTCAAACATTCCTTGTGTTGAAGTTGTAGCAGGGGGAAAACAGAAGTAGAGCTGCTCAGCCCAGCTAAAGGTCCCACCACTGTATTAGCATAACCGCCTCTTCAATTAGAAGGATTGCAACAAAGAAATACACCATACTTCCAAGGAGAAGTAGCTCTTCCAAAAGAACTTAGCAGCAGTAGTTATATACTTTTAACAATTATCCAAGTACTCCTTCAGAGATCCCTCAGTATCACATGGAATGCAAGGATTGGTCAGAAATGGGGGGAAGTAGTACTGTTGAACAGATCAAACCCAACATGTGAATAAAATGCCTATTTGGTTATTTCTCTAAACACAATCACAGGAAACTCTGCTCAATATGAACAAAATAAAAACAGATTTCAACTAATATAGTGGCTAGATCAGCTCTAAATGCAGAACTGGCTTTTATTTCACTGGAAAATGCAGCACCTTAAACCCCAAGAGCATGTACTGCATCAAATACAATGGTAGATGTCAGTGACATACAGTAATTTAATTTTTTTTTTAAAACTAAGGGGTCTAAGTCAAGATAAAAAATGAGATTATTGACCAATGGCTATACATGGGTTTACTGAAGATCTTTATATGGAATGGTAATGAGAAAAGTGGGCTGTAAAATAATGGATGATTCGACTATAACTAGAAAACCAAATAACCCCAGTGCAGTAAAACCAAGTTGAAGTACTATACACTTAAAATATACATTCATAGCTGCATATCAGCTTTCGCTTTCAGTTCGCCGCAAGGGTTAAGAGGTTAGGTATAAGCTGGGGTCTGTACACCCCAGAGCTCTCCAAATTAAGTCCAAGTCCAAATTTTAAAAAGGCATACACCGTGGGCTGATGCAGTACAAGGCAACAGATAGAATGTTGGCTAGTCTGAAGCAGTTCTTATTATATTATTGCTGATGAGTCTAAACTGTAATAACCCTTAATTTTTGTTGAATCTTACAAATATTTTAGATAAAATGAACCAATACAATAAACAGATGTTTATTTGGATGCTTATAATGAATTACAAGCCAAAATAGACTTTAACAGCACTCATTTATCTGCACTTTCCATTCCTTTTTTTGGATCGAGGGCTGTATTTACGAACACATTTGACTTTTGTCAAACATAAAAAAAGACCCACTCACGTATCCCATCTGATACTGCTGTATATGGATGTTTGTGAACCTCACGCGAGCCTGGCACTTTAGAAAGCAGGGGGTTGTCCATTTCCATAAAGTGTCTATGATCTTTGGGCAACGTATCATAACAATATCCCACAATGCAAAGGAAACAAAGAAAAAAACTAAAATGAATCCACAAGTCCTTGTTCCTGGATGGTCTGTACATCTATTGTCCTCAAAGTCCCAAAACAACCTGAATGCACTGCTCTTTAGTGACTTTTTCACAGCACCTCTGACTCTAGTGCGCATCCTCACTCTTCCACATGGTGTCAGTAATCCCAAGCATGTACACTGGATCATCCCTGGTGGGAGTGTGTGGTTTGGGGCATGCTTCACCCAGCACCCAGCCCAGATCCTGTGGCCGGCTGTGTGTCAGTCTGCTGGTGTAGAGCGCTTGAAGGAGGGAGTTGAGGAAGTCACAGAGTGGTCAAGAGGGTGGCCCATGGAGCGGCCCAGACACAAGTGCGAGCCTGCCGAGGGACTGAAGGAACCTTGGAATGGAGACTGGGAGGGTCTGCTGAGGGAATGACGGGCTGTCAGTCCGCTGGCTCTCTGTAGACTAAACACAAACATGCGAGATTTGCAGTTACAGTCAATCACTTCAATATTTAGCCATTTTGCAATAATTAGCCATTACTGTAACCAATATGCTAATATTTTTACTCATTTGTTGTATGACATTTTGGAACAAGGGAAATTTTGTGAAATGTGCAGTCAAAACAGGAATCCAAAGAGGATTTTGTGTTTCTCTGACTGCGGGTCCCAAGTAACTTCTCCAACTGTTATGTGTGACAATATTCACAGCATACACATGGACATCTAACAAGTTTCTGTGTGCAAGTTTATAACTACAGCAACGATATATATATTTTTTTTTTCGGATTCCCATTAGCAAATGTCCATGACACCAACTACTATTCCTGGGGTCCAAAATTGCATATACTGGTGTCTTATATGCACATACCACATTCTTTGTCAGTTGAACCATCACCGTGCTTGTAGGTGCGCTCCGTCTTGATGCTTCTCAGCACTCGCTCTAGAACCCCCTGCCCTTCCCTTAGTCGTTCAACACTAGTCGGAACCATCCTGTGAAGATACAAGAGAGCTGTTATTGGTACCATCTGTTATATACAGGAGGGAAACATGTAAACTGTCTAAATGCGAATTTAACGAATACTAAACCAGTGAATGTGTAGTGCAATGAAATTGGCACAGGGCTAATTATTTTTACATACATGATCAGTGACCATCCATGTGGAGCTAGTAGCAAACAACTCTTACCACTGGTTGTCCTGGTGTCGAGAGGGTGCTGGGGCGGGTGGTTCTGAGGGGCTGACAGCCTCTGTGTGTGGACTGGAGTAAGGCTGAGCAGACGATGGGTAAGGGTGAGGGGAGGCCCGATGCTGTAGCCGGTGACTGTGATGAGTGTCCTGGCTGTAATGGCTGCCAGGAGGCGTGTGTGTGGCACTTAGGGACTCGGAGTCACGACCACAGCTCTGCTTCCTTTTCCTGTACTCCAGCAAAGACACCTGAGGCACAACATAAAACGTACTGTCAAACTATGGCTTTAACCGCACACCACAGCTTTTCAGGGTTCCCACTTTTATTGAAGGCCTTTTTTCCAGCACTTTTGCTACAAAACCTACTTCTCATTAAATAATGGCCTATAAACAGACAGCTGTAAAATTGTAGTTTGTAACACAAATTAAAAAGATGAGACACATGGGAACCCTGCTTTCACATCAATCTGACATCCATAAGGGACGAAACACGTCATGCATTTTACCAAGACACACCTGACCTGTTCAATTTATCACTATGGAAACACCCGCACAGTGCATTGCTCATTTGCTATGGAGTTTGGTGCATTACTATTGTGAACTGAATGCATGGTTAGTAGCATAAAGCAGCTACAGCATTTACAATGGAGCAGGCATTTGAAACTGAAACCATCACAAAATGCAACCATACAGAATACCCACAACATTCACAAACCGTTCAGACGCACACCAACACCAATGACCACCCACATACACTGCCAACATGTTTTGACTTAATGAGATGTCTCTGTGAACACATGAGGGAATATGACATGACAATGAGCTTGTCTCAGATATCAATAGGGGATCTACATTTCACAGAGTGACATGTTGGTTTAACACTAAGATAATGAATCATTGCTTTCCAGGCACCAATGCATGGAATTATTGAAAATAAAATTCCTTGTGACAAGTTGGTTGACAAGTTCAACACCTTAACTATATCAGCTAGATACCCCTTCAAAAAACATAATGAAAAAGATGGTACAAAATACATTTATATTTATTATTTAGGTCTGAAGACTTAGTTTAACTCAATCTAAGGCCCTCTGATTAAATAGCGTTTCCCCCAATCATTACAATCCATGATCACTTGATTGTAGCATCTATGGCAGTCAGCACCAGTACCTGCCTGCTTGACAGTCTGCAGTGCAGCAAGTATTTAGAATGGTGGATACTGCTACAGAATTTCTGCGGGTGGAAACCTTTAAAGTAAACGTTACTCATGCATCACTAAACATGGTCACAACAACTTAATGTACACTTGAAGGAAAGGACAGAGCTTGTATAATGGGGGTGTTGTATGCAGATGCAATAAAATACTGACATGCACACTAGAGGCAGTTTTAAGAATATTCACCATATTTTGTACTGTCTTGTATTCACTTCTTACAGCTATAGTCTGGTAATGTGTCTTCCCTGTCACCAGACTAATGGGTGACTGCTTGGCCCTCTGCCTTGGAAAAAAGTGGAAGAAAAACTTTGCAAACAGAGTAAAATTGTGGGTAGGAGGTGACTGAGGTGAGGCTGATCTCAATTTGCTATGTAGTTCACTGTGGCTATATTACAATTGAGGTTAAATAAATTA